TGATGGCCCTCTGTGGTGGACTTGTGGTATTGTGTTCGTGTGTATCCCTTTTCTGTTCGTACCTGTTGGAGAGACATGAAATGGGAGAGAATGAAAACTGCCTTTTGTTACCGAGTGTTTGAGGTCTTTGTTTTACAATATGGAGTTCTCGTGGGTGCCTATTTATTTTCCAATGCTCTCATATCAGCCAATCTCGAATATACTCGACAACAGGTAGACGCAACACAAGCTCGTGTGAAAAATAGTGAAAAAACGAAATTTATTGCCAATTTGAGTCATGAAGCGAGAAATCCACTGCATTGCATTATGGGAAGTTTACAAATTTTGAATCATCATTTTGAGGGTGAGACATGTAGTGGTGCCTGTAAACACTGTTTCTTTAACAATTCTGCCATTAGTGAAATCATTGGAGATATTAATGAAAATGCATCTCTTCTTCTTCATATTCTTTCATCGTCGTTACAAATGAGTTCTCTCGAGATGGGAAAGATCAAACCTAAGAGTGAAGTCTTTAATTTGAAGTTCTTGTTGGACTCTCTGGTGGGTGTCTTTGCTCAATTGGCTCATGAGAAAAACATTTCTCTTCATTCGTTTTTTAATGTGGCACAAGTTCCTCAATTTTTCAAAGGTGACTCTGTACGATTGATTCAAGTCATTATGAACATTATTTCCAATGCAGTGAAATATACCAAACATGGTTATGTGCGAGTGAATTGTAATTTAGCAAACGAACAAGATTTGAAAGATTTTTATGAGAGAGAAGAGAACATTTTTAACATGTGTCAAGGCTTGTCGAATTCAACAAGTTCACCATTCACATTTGTCAAACTAGAGTTTATTGACACAGGCTGTGGAATTTCACCACAAGAAATTGACAATTTGTTCCAACCTTATCGAATTGTTGAACAAAAAAGTGATGATCATATTTCACTTGGATTTGAACAATATCTCAAACAATCAGAAAATATGAAATTCAACGATGGAGGAAGTAGTCTCATTCTCAACACGAGTAGAAATGGACTTGGTTTGTGCATTGCCAAGTTATTGATTGACAAGATGAATGGAAAAATTCATGTCGAAAGTGCTCTAAATGTTGGAACCAAAGTCACCATTATTTTACCTTTACAAAACACCACCAATGACATGTCAGAAGCCATTTCAGAGATTCTTCAAGGAGAAGGTGTCGAATTTAATGCCATCATTATTGATCGAGATGAATGCTTTAGGAATGTATTGTCCGATTACCTTTTATTATTCAAACATCTTAAAAAGTTGGAAACTTTTTCAAGTTTGGAAGAAATGTCCATCCTGTCACTTTCATCCTCAAATTTGAAAACAATCATCTTTTGTTCGGAAGAACATTTTAAGGTACTCTTGAATGAGAAGGCAACCATACTTGGACATCAAGACAATGTCATTCTTGTGCCCACCACCTTTCGAGGAGCAGAACGAGAATTCTTTGACATCAAATACCTTGCAAAACCTGTTCGATCCAGTGAATTGGTGGAATTTATGAGTTTTGTGTCGACCAACACACAACGACCAAATGCAGAGGTGTTGTCAAATACTTCGAATGCAGTGTCCGATTCCTGTTCGTCCTCATCGTCGTCGTCGTCACATTTTGCTGCACCAACGAAGAACAATGAAAACGGAGAAGAATCCTCTCTGGTGGCTGCAAACAAAAGTTCCGAAACAACAACCACGACATCGACATCGACCACAAGCTATTTTGACTTTAGCAAATTCTCAGTGTTGTTGGCGGATGATAATGCAGTGAATCGAAAAGTATTGATGAAAATGTTGCAAATCATTGGATTCAAAGATATTGACACTTCCAATGATGGAATGGAATGTTTTGAAAAGTTCAAACAAAAAGCATATCAACTCGTCTTGTTGGATTGTTACATGCCCATTCTGAGTGGACGAGAAGCGTGTGAAATGATTCGAAATTTAGAGAAACAAACTCACACGCGAGTTCCAATCATTGCAGTCACTGCCAACAACTTTGAAAGTGAACAAGTGCTCAAATCGAATGGTTTCGATCATGTCATTTACAAACCCTTTGTGGTGGATTATTTGAAACAAGTGTTTACCAACATTTTAGATTACTATTCACAACATTATTTTCATCATCCTCCTCATGTCAATAACCACACCACCACCAGCACCTCTACCACGACAGCTGCTCATGTCCATTCTCCTCCTCCTCCTCATTATCCACAACAACCTCACAACCAAAATCAGTGAATGAACCCTTGCGTCAGCTCCAATTGGCCAAATTGCCTTAATTGTTTCTGAAGAGAGCCAGAACCTCACTCCCTCAGTGTCGATCACACCAACACAAATCTACGGTCATTCCTTATAATGGATTTGGTGCCAAATCGAACGTTTTCGTACAATCCAAAAAAGTCGTGCAAAGCGGCAAATATTCACCAAAAAAAACAAAAAACACGACATTGTCTTCTTTCGATACCGTCGTGCAATATCAAAGTCAATTCTTTCAGCAACACTCCACAAGACGCATGAATCATCATACAAATCATACAAACAAACATGTTCATGACCACACGACGACGACGAACGAAGAGAATGAACCACATGTTGATACCAATAACAACAACAACATCAGTATTAGTAGTCAAAGAATTACGGAACATTTAATCCTTCAAAAGGATCAACACTTGAAGGCAGGACGTTTATTGGTTCTCGTTCCCATCCTCATCGGTTACTTTTATTGCCGAGAAAATCCAACCGTGTTCGTCCTTTGTTATGTGGGAGAGATGATCGTTCACTACTTGTTACATTCCTTAATGAAACAAGAACAACAAAATTTTCACAAATTTCGTTCGGAGAGAAACTATTTCTCAGGTTATTCACTCGTGATGATCAATGTGGCACACATGTTGTGTGTATTCGCGCATCAATTCATGACACAAATGTATTATGGACCTTGGTTTCCGAGTTACATCTTGTCCACTTACAAGATGATTGTTGTGGCTTGTATCTTTCCGAGTCATCATCAAAAACAGTACGTGATTTACAAGTGGAATGGTCCATTTACAATTCTATTCTCATTGTTGGTGACGTACCTTTCTTCGAGAGGAGTGGAAATGTCAGATTTGGAATGGTCATTCTTTCAGAGACGATTGGTCGACATGTTTTGTTTACAATACGCGGTGATGGTTGGATCGAACATGTTTTCGCACTTTTTGGCGTTCAAAAATCGAGAATATTCCATGCAACAATTTAAAGCAGCGAATGAGCGATTTAAGAATGAAGAGAAAACCAAATTCATTGCCAATTTGAGTCATGAAGCGAGAAATCCATTGCATTGCATTATGGGAAGTTTACAAGTGTTGAATCATCATTTTGAGGGAGAGAAGTGTTTGAACGGATGTAAACATTGCTTTGTCAATCATCGTGAAATTGGAGAAATCATTGAAGATATTAAGGAAAATGCTAGTTTATTGCTTCACATCTTGTCGTCGTCATTGCAAATGAGTTCATTGGAAATGGGAAAGATTCAATTGAAACATGAACCATTCAATTTGAAACTCTTATTGGATTCCTTGGTTGGAGTGTTTTCGCAATTGGCTCATGAAAAACAAATTTCATTGTATCTCTTTTATCAAGTATCAAACATGCCACAAATCTTTCGTGGGGATTCTGTTCGATTGAGTCAAATCATTATGAATATCATCTCGAATGCCATTAAATACACGAACAAGGGTTTCGTGAGAGTAAATTGTTCACTTGCCACTTTAGAAGAACTCGAACCTATTCAAAAACAAAGAAAGAGGAATAGTCTTGAAAACTTGTTAAATCCTATCACCCATGTTCGTTTGGAATTTACGGACACGGGCTGTGGAATCTCACAGGATCAAATCCACAAACTGTTTCAACCTTACAGTGTGATCGATCAAACCCACGATCAAACCCAAGATCAGAACGAATTTGGATCCTCTTTTGAACAATATTTCAACCAATCTGAAAATTTAAGGAAACTCACTGATGGAGGAAGCAGTTTAATTCACACCAATCGAAATGGTCTTGGACTTAGCATCACTAAAATGTTAATTCGAAAAATGAAAGGACATATTAAGGTCAAGAGTGAAGTGGGCGTTGGAACTACAATGACAGTTATTTTACCTCTCGAGACAGGTGACAATTCAGAAATTGAAAAAACCATTGACATGTTCCTGTCAGAAAATACCTTGACCTATCAAGTCACAATTATAGATCCTGACCCTTGTTTTAGAAGTGTGTTGAAGGATTACCTCTCTTTGATGAAGAGAGTACAAACAATTTCATGTTATGAAAGTTTTGAATCGTTTAAACTTGACCATCAGTTCGGGGATGTTGGAAAATGTGAAAATTCTCACAAGGAAGAATTATGTTCTCTCTTTTTTGTTCCAGAACGAGAATATGAAGGGATTCAAGATCATTTTGGAAATTCCAAAAATGCAAAACAAATCATAATTCCAACAATTTTCAAAGGAGTCAAACGATCGTTTCCAGATCAACACTATCTTCCTACACCCATCAAGTTTGGCGAATTAATAGAATTATTTAAAAGAATTGAGGAAAACATTCGTGAGGCCAATTCTTGCCCTCGCTCTGTTGAGGGAGACACCGGTAGCACACCTGAACCAAATTCAAACCAAACAAAGACGGATGCGGAGGAAGAATGCAATTTTGACTTTAGCAAATTCTCAGTGTTGTTGGCGGATGATAATGCAGTGAATCGAAAAGTATTGATGAAAATGTTGCAAATCATTGGATTCAAAGATATTGACACTTCCAATGATGGAATGGAATGTTTTGAAAAGTTCAAACAAAAATCATATCATTTGGTCTTGTTGGATTGTTTCATGCCCATTCTGAGGTAAGTTTGGCATAACATTATTGGACATTTTGAATTTAACATTTTACTTATAACCACAAACCATTTGTGAATCGTTTGAATTTTATCAACTACAGTGGAAAGGAAGCATGTGAAATGATTCGAAATTATATGAAATATCGACATCATGAAAAAGAAGAAATGCAACGAATACCAATCATTGCCATCACAGCCAACACATGGGAACCAAGAGACACTTTACTCTCACAAGGTTTTGATGATGTTGTTTACAAACCATTTATTTTGGCTGATTTCAAGAAATTGTTGACCTCTTATTTAAGCGCCGCCAATCAACGATGACAGTAGAATTCTTCCAAGAGTTGTTCATCTATCTGTAAACAGCACATTGCTCAAAGCAACGCTCCAACGCTGTCGATATTCAAACCATTTGGAAATACTGAGTCCTTTTTAAATTTATACACAGATTGCTCCACATTCAAATCTAAATGTTCATCCTTTTGGTCATATTCTTGACAAATTTCAATTTCCCAATCCGATGGACCTGAACTCATTTGAATTGCAAATTCCAACAACACACTCTCTCGATCCTCGAGTAATTTTTCACCATGAGCTCTCTGCACTCGTTCCACAGTAGTTTTCCAAATGTATTCTGCTTGATCCACATATTTGAACCATGGAATTTTCTTATGCTTCCATATAAAGATAACAGGTTTGTTTGATAACTTGTTCATCAATGTAATGAGATTCGTATGATCCTCTTTGAAAACTATCTCTCCCAATGAGCGCGCCACTTTTGAGTTTTTATGATGTAAATTTTCCAAGAGATTGGTGTCACCCACATCTGATTTCCATTCATTGTATTGATCATCACGATCTGATTTGGAAACTTGTGAATGATACAACTCATTTTGGGAGAGAGCAAATTTAACGAAATATCTAATACGTTCCTCAGGCTTCAATTCCGATAAGACTTGCACGAGTGGATCTTTTTGTTTCAAAGATTCCATGATCCATTTAGAATCCTTCTCATCCAAGAATGATTTGAATAAATCTAAAGTGTCTTTTTCATTTTGCAAATGTTTTTGGCTTGCATCAATTTGTTCCTTCTGTTCTTCCTCTGATTGAATCTTTGCGGTTGTTACTTTGGCTGATTGATCTTTGCTTTCTGATGGAATGACTTCTTGATCCGACATGATGCTGTCTGATATCAGGTTTGTAACGGCTCTATTTTTTTGTCTTGACAAAAGCTTGTAACGGCCGTTGTTGGCTTCAGTCTTGATCCCCGAACAAGTCAAAATCAACGATTCTCCAATTATTGTACAGTAAAGTGGTTTGTTATTTGAGATTGTGACAATCAATTGATGTCACAGAATCTTGAACAAAATTGAAAATGGTCCAACAGCGGGTGAATCAATTCACAGCAGAAACACTCTTCTCCACGAACATCTTTTCTTCAATAAATTTAACAATATCCTCCACATTTCTTTTCCCTTCATAAAACAATTTCGTCTTCATCTCACCATTTCTAAAAAAGGCCAATGTAGGATATCCTCTCACTCCCAACTTGACCACTGCACTTTCATAATTATCGGGACCATTCACTCTCGCTACTTTTATTCTTCCTCCAAATTGTTCCTTAATTTTGTCCACTAATTTTGCAAAGGTCGGAGCAAAGGCTTTGCAATGTCCACACCATGGAGCATAAATATAAATTAATGATACGGGTGATGAAATGAAAGATTCAATGGATGAGCCTTTTAAATTATCATCATAGATAAAGGAGGTCGGAAGAGTCGTAGAGGATGGAGTTTCATCATGTTGTTCTTTAGTGGTGGTAGTGGTAGTGGTCGTGGTGGTCGTTAATGATGATGATGTTACTCGTTCGTTATCGGAATTTATCATTTCAAGTTTACCTGCCGATGATGAAGAGGAAACTTCAAGCGATGAAGATGGCACTGATGAGGACAATTTGGCTCTAAAATTCATCCACGAGACCAGATAGATCAAAACAATCACTCCGACAGACACGAAGAGAAATTTCTTGGAAACAATTAGGGAAGATAATTTTGAAGACATTTTTTCGTTTTCATATCCACCGAACAAGAAGATCTTATTGACATTTAGATGTCATATCTTATTGGAGGAACAACCATTCCGTTATCCATAACAACCAACACATTGGATTTTAAGGGCAGACTTGTTCAAATTCCATTTGTTGAAATCAAAAGCGAGTATATTCAATCTCTCATTGATAAATATATTTAATTGTTTGGTCATCATTTTGAGGCTAATTTCTTGTCCCTGTTCATAACACACACCATTACACCATTGGACAGTCTCTTACTCTTGATGAACCGTTTCCTGAATGTTGCTGCTACCATTATTGCCAGCAGCGAGAATGTCTTGAATGGCATTCCTTGAAGAAAAGGAGGATGTTAACAACGCTTTCAAGCTGTGTTTGGAACCAACACTGTCTCGAGAGCTATAGAGGTCGGTATGATGATCATGAGTGAGAACGGTTGGAGAAGCACTGTTTCTTGCTGGTTTGAAAAGATAGGTCTGCATTAGACCTTTTCCTTTGACTTCAACACTTTTTTCTTGGAATTTATAAAAGTCTTTCAATTTGTGATAACATGTGGATGTAATTTGAATGTGACCTGTTGGACATGTGCTCTCCATTCTATTCAAGTTGTGGATATAAATTCATAAAAATTTTTTATCATTTTCTTTGGCTATAACTAGATTGCAAAAAAATATTTACCTTGACGCAATGTTCACAGTATCACCCCAAATCTATCAAAAGAATGACAAGCGCCGTGCAATTCGAAAATAAAGAATGTCTATTCAGAACGACGAGATTAATACTTACATCAAATGCATATTTCAGCAGACCACAAATGCCTGCCACTACTGGACCAACATGCATACCAACCTTCAATCCAATATTAAGGCCGTTCTCGTCACGAAATGAATCAACAATATCAAATAATTGAATCGCAAAATCAAACATTCGTTCCAAGTGAGATAATTCTGTCTCAGAATCTGGTTTCAACCCTCCACAGCAGAAATATTTGGAGCCAATGGTTTTGATTTTCTCCACATTTGAAGCTAAAGTCAAATCATCAAATTTGTGAATAATTAAGTTTAGAGTTTGAACTAATTCATATGCAGAAAGATTTAAATCCAACAATCCATATAAATCGCTGAAAAAACAGGTCACATTTTCGTATTTGTCTGCGATAAAAGTTTCTCCCGCAATTAAGCGTTGAGCTATACTCTCAGGCATAATGTTCAATAATAGGGATTCACTTTGACATTCGTTCGTCATGACAAGACAAATAATTGCACAAGATAATTCATGCTATATTCCAAAAAATTCTTCATACAATACATACCTTTTCTTTTTTTCTTCTGCCAGCTCCTTTGTTTGTTTCTTATATTCAGTAATATCTCGCATAAAACAAGCAATAATATTTCTTCCATCTAAAACTCCAACCGAAATTCTGAGCTCGAGAGGAAATTTACTTTGATTCTTCTTTTGACCAGTGATTTCAATCGTTTCTGCGTAATTCACCGCGCTGAATGCCATCTTTAATTGTTCCATTTAAAAAATTAACAATTCAATTAAACATTCAATTGATTGAAATTTCATTTTAATCTTGCATTCTTAATCTATATACTTACCTTTGCTAATATCGGTTCAAGTTTTGATGCAGATTCTTTGTCAAATAATTTCGACAAGTGAAAACCAATAATCTGATCGCCACTACAAAATGAAACATTTCGACCATTTCAACGTAATATATATGGTAACAAGTATAAAGTTGATCTCAAAAACTTAATGTGAAGAAGAGTGATCATACGTACCGATATCCAAACAATTTTTCAGATGACGAGTTGAAAATATCAATAGTTCCACCAGCACTGCAAATTGTGGCACATGTCAAAGCCGCCTCCAACACCGCTCTCTCTTTCGATATCTTTTGTTTTACTTTGGCCCGTCCAACTCCAGATGATAAATAATAAAAGAAAATATAATTTCGAATTTCATCATTGGCATCAATAATCTCCCATTGAACATAATTGAAAAGTTTTCTCATTCTAAAATTTTCTTCTTGCATAGTCGAAACATTTGTGAATAAGAAAAAGGAAGCAATAAGCAATACGGGACAACAAATCACAACCACAACAATGGTCATCAAAGAGCGGCTCGATTCGAGAGTACGTCTTAATAATTGCGTAATGTTACTGAAGGTCATGACAAGCTCAAAACTATCTTGTCTCAAAAAGGAGTGATAATCACCAATATGAGAAACCGTGAGGTTTTGAGAGAGATCCTTGTACATCAGAATGTTTGACCTGAATTTGGCAACTTGGTCGTCCAATGAAAGGCAGTTAAATTCATCACAACTCATGTTATTCTTTTGTAAAATTAAGTCTTTCATACTCGAAGAATAATCTGTCATGCTTTGATATCCATCAAAAGCTGACCCAAAACGAAATGAGTTCCATACACTATCGAACTCTTCCAATGTAGAAATTAACGAGTCGCCACCATCTTTTTCTTGCGTGTAATTATTTCCAATTTCCAATTTGTTCCATAACTTATACCTCAAACTTTGAGACAATCGCATTGCAGTCGCAGCCAGTTGAAGTTTCTTCAAGCCAATAAAGTGAGCCTTAAAGCTATTAATACCATCAGCCATGGTTAATGATAATGCACAACATGTCAAAAGGAAACAAATAAACGCTATTACAAAGAACGAATGTGAAGCCGACACAAGCTTGTCAGTACTAACAATCTTTGCAGTAGATTGCTTTTCCAGATTCGATATTATCTTTTAGTTTCTTCTTTTGGAACTCTCTTGAACAACTGTATGATCAGCTTTCTTTGTCGAACAAAGATGAATGCAAATGTGGCAAATGTCATAACATAGAGCAAATATGCACAAAAATTCCAGAGCTCACAATAATATATGCAGTCCGAGCTTGCTGATTGTGTATGATTTGGATTACATAACTCTCGGAAAAGAATTTCTGAAAGTAGTCAGTAAGAAATTCAATATTAGACTTCAAAAATTCAAAGTAATTGTCTGTGGGTACTAGAGAGGAGTTGTTAATTCTTGGATAAATGATTCGTTTCATCTTTTAACAAGCCATGAATTGGAACAATTTTGCTCGAGAGTAAGACCATCGTCGATCTATATGCAATTATTAACATAGTTTCCTCTGAATATTATTGTGGTACTTACAATGAATTTCTTGTCATTACTATTGAATAGCGCCATGATTTCTTGATCATATATTCCACTATCAAATAACAATTCAACGTTCTCTACTTGTTCCAACTCAAAATTCAGGGCCCTCAAATATGAAACTGAATCGGATGCTTTTAAAATGTTTCTACTTTCAATATTAACAACTGTGAAGTAAGGTAATGATGGAAGTGGTACAGTGGTTGTCAGTACATCCAAATTTGTGAAATAGCTCAACAATGGAAGCGTGACTGATAGTAGTACAATTATAAAACCAGTTGACACAATTCCAAATGTAACAAGAAAATAAAATAGTAGACGGTTCACCTCTCTTTTGTTAATGGCATTGGAAACAATTTCTTGTTGTTTGTCCACTGTTTCCTCTGCTACTTGTGATACTGAATCTAAATTATCATCCATCATAGGAACATCTAATAGTTGATCATTATTTTCAGTTTCTTTGGTTGTATTTGGAATTTCCTTTGATCCATTTCCGGTGTCTAGTACATTAAAACTTAATTCTTCTTGATATTCAGTATAAAGTTTTTGAAAGAATGGATCATCCTCATTTTCTAATATTAGATTATTGAACGCGATATCACAATCTGATGTTAGAGATTGAATGTTTTGGATCAAATCATTGACATCCATGGATGCAAGTAAATTCTTCCAGAATTGAATGATCAAATATCTCAGCTTGCGCATCTTAATTTTAACCCCTTCTAGAATAATTTCTGAATGGGCGCTGTTTAAACGTCCGTTTGATAAACATTTTTCAGTTTCCCTTGTTCTTATGAAAATATTGTATTTCATAAATATGCTGGAAGAGGGTTGTTTTTCGGCTCTTTTAAGAAGTTGTAGAGAAATGAAGTAATGAGGAGAATGTGAAACATCTTTCAAAAAAAGAGAAAAAAGAACTTTCATATGAGCATCTAGCCAATCTGCATGTTGAGATGTTTCAATAAAATCTGAAACCAATCGTTTGTGTTCATTAATACCTTTCATTGAAAATTGCAGAAAGGCACACACTGCTTTAAAGTCTCGATTATGAATTCGTGTGTCGTGTGTGAGGGCAAGCTTTACCATTTCATGACCTCTGTTGAAAAGATATTTCGTGTAGAAATCTGTCACCAAAAATCCAATAACAAAGCCTATCAAGGCTAGTACAGGAGGGCAAAATGCAAGTCCAAGCCCAAGATCCCATGAATCGCTAGCATTTACCAGTGAGGCAATTAACGACGCAACAGCAACTCCAATTCTCGCAAACCCAACACCACCATACACAGAATTGGCTCTTCTTCTCACAAATGGTAAATTACGGAATAAAAGGATTACAAATCCAAGAGAAAATATTGCAAAATAAATGGGCCTTAAAAGCTAACAAATTTTGGTGTCACGATGGAGATGATTAAATAAAGCTGATTCGAGCCAATCACATATGAAATGAGAAATGGATCCAATAATAAGAATTTTGCTTTAGATGTAATGAAAGTGTCACAAAAAATCATGACGGTTCCCATTGTGATCACCACTTGAATGAGCACCAATATAAGAGAAAGAATGGAAAAACGGCATTCATGGTTCCCCAACATGCTTCAGTTGGAAAGCTGGAAAGTACAAATATTTGGACACCTTTCTGAATTTCAACTGTTTTTGAATAATCACAGCCCCAAAATCCTTGCATTAAAGCAAATGTCTTTTTTGTCGATCATAGGAATATTGTTGTGATGGATTCATGCACAAGTGGTTCGTGAAGGGGATGACAATAAATGATGGCATGTGTTAGTAATAAACAATTATCGGTGGGTAAACAATGAAGTAGTTTTTCACAAGACTTACCATTGGCAATGAAAGGAATGTCATGATGGCAAAAACACTTCTACCAGCAGTTCGAATTTTTTTCCAATATTTGCTACCATAAATTAGAGATCGATAAGTGAAGAAGATGATGATCATTCCGATACATTCAACCAAGCACATAATTGCGAACAATGCAACAAAATCATTATATGGCAAAAATTGAAACCCAAACGTTCTCGGAGCAACAAGAGCATGCACAATATATCTTCCATATTCGCCCCAACCATCGTCAACGGAAATTCCCAATGAAAGTGTTTGATAAATCATCATCAAATGAAGACTCAAACACAACAGAGGATGAATGGAACGTTCCAATTTCAACGCATTGATGAACATGAAAAATTGTTGAATCTTGTCCTCGAAAAAGGAATGATCTTGTTCATTCCCAAAGGTGCCTTCTTTGAATTGTGAAGAGTTAACATCATCAAAGGAGTCACTCACCGGAACCACCGAATTGCTGGAGTACAGGCCTCTTTTTTTGTAAACATTGGCTTTTGGATGGATTGCGTTGTTGCCCGAAACAGTTGGAGCCTTCTTCTTGGAGAAGGATCCAGAGGGATGACTAGGAGGATGAGCTGACTGATCAGCAGTACTCGGATGACTATGCTCTGTCATTCAATCTCCACTTTCCCATAAAGGTGCTAGATCTAATTAATTGATCAATACAGTAGAGTACGAAGTAGCCTGTAGCCACGAACGAGAAAAACCTTGTTCTTGGCTTTGGATATATTATCGTATCGCGAGAGAGCGAGTACCGAACAGAATGTTTCACCGCCTTTCTTTCTAAGGGTGCTACAGTGCGCTCAATTTTTTGTATTAAGGAGAAATCAGGGAATGAGAAATCTCCCATTCCTGAAAAAGGAAAAACAAAGTGAGAGTGTCCAACAATGTCCTTGAAATGATGCATGAACAATGATCATCCAAAGATTGAAAAAGATTCTAAAGATTTCTATTTGTGTGTCTTGAGTCTTTCGAGAAGTCTCGCTGATCGGCTTTTGAAATTCAATTTCAGCACAAAAAAATGGGCAATCAACTCGCTGTGAGCGGCTCTGTGCAAGAACTTCACTTGCAAGACTTGGCTGAAGGTTTAGTTCAGGATCACCCTCTTGGAGGAGGTCGATTACTCAAGAGTGTCCAATGTTGGACGGAAGAGGGTATGCCAGTGGTGGTAAAGGTATATTTGAAGAGAGAGGATGATCCGCCTCTCGCTCTCGCACCTCATCATGCCAAATTGAAAATATTGAATGAGAAATTGAGTCTGAGGAATCAACCCAACGTGTTGAGTTATAATAGAATGGTGGAGACCGACAAGGCTGGTTATTTGGTTCGACAATATTGTTATAGCAACTTGGCAGACAGAATCAGTACCCGACCGTTTTTCAGTGCCATCGGGAAACGTTGGATTGCTTTTCAAATTTTGCAAGGATTGAGTCAGATTCATAAACTTGGACTTTATCATGGCGATTTGAAAGCAGATAATGTAATTTTGACTGCTTGGGATTGGGTCTTTCTGACTGATTTGGCTCCTTTCAAACCATCACGAATTCCCGATGATGATCCTTCATTCTTTTCGTATTATTTTGATACATCCGGAAGAAGAATTTGTTTATTGGCTCCTGAACGGTTTTGTCCAACATCACAAGTTTATGGTATCGGAAACACTGCGTCAGCAACGCCACTCACAAGTACCAAATCGTTGGCAAACGCATTTGTCATGATTGATAACAACGGTTTAGATCAAAGCATGTTAATTAATGAGGATACATTGTCCCTCCTTCGAGTGGCAATCAATCATCAACGGATTCGAATAACAACAACACAACATCTAACACAGAAGAAATCACTGAAAAGATGGATATATTTAGTGCTGGATGTGTCATTGCGCAGCTTTTCCTCGATGGTGAAGCGCTCTTTGACTATTCCCAACTTCTGGCATATCGCAAAGGAGACACCGAACACTTCTCAAAATTATTGGAAAGAGTCGAAGATAAAGATGTTAGAGAGATGATTACACATGCTCGATTTGGATCCAAACAAACGACTCTCAGCAGAAGAATATATTACAAAATATACACCGACCATTTTCCCTATTTATTTCAAATATATTCATGAGAAAGTAATGATTCAAATGCTAGACAAAAATTGTGACAAGAGAATTCAAACAATTTCTGAAATGTATGACAATATTATCGAAGAATTATCGGAATCATCAGAAATTGGAAAGAGCCCTAGCAATCAAAGCATATCTTCTACTGTGAAAACAGCTCAAAAAGCTCTGACACACTGAACGCAACGAATGCACCAGAATATACCGGATATATCCAGAAAAACTCTCTCCCTGAACTTATATCAGATACAAAGAAATTTAATCACAATTTAGACGATACAGAAAACAAAGAGAAAACGCCCTCCTCAAACAACAAAATCGAAAAGCTCTCTGAAAGAAGAAAATTTAATAACGGGAAAAACTGGGAAAATCACAAACCACCCATGAGGGTATTGAAATTATTGCAACTCTTCTTTGCTCGAGTGTTCGAAATGCTCAAAGTGTGAGCGTTCGAGTACAAGGCCTTGACCTCATGAAAAAACTTGCAGACTTTTCTTCCAACTACACAAAATTGGAAAGATTGATACCATACACTTGTGCTTTGTTGAATGACCAAGCTCCTCTCGTTAAATCAAAAGCGATAGACACACTCACATATATTTTGACCAAGATCACCGCATTCCCTCCAAGCGACTCTAATTTATTTAATGACTACATTCTTCCTGCTTTGAAAATTATTTGTACTGACAAATCTGATTTAGTGAGAGTGACATTTGCTGAAAATTTGCCATTGCTTGCCTATCAAGCAAGAAGATTTTTAGAAATGAGTCAAATAATTAACCAAAATATCAATAATCAAGTCATGATAAAAGGAACATATGACAGTGAGCTAAACTCCTTGCAAGACGAGATTGGATCACGAGTTTTGGAACTCTCAATGGATCAATGTACAGTTGTGAAACGATCTCTTCTGAAGAATATTACACCTTTATGTATTTTTTATGGACGAAGAAAAACCAACGACTTTGTATTGCCAATGGTGATTACTTTCCTCAATTCACGACAATGGAGATTGAGACATGCATTCTTTGAACAAATTGTTGGCATTTCGATTTTTGTTGGTCCAACCTCGCTCAAAGAATTCATTTTGCCATGTATCATGCAAGCTCTTTATGACGTTCAGGAATTTGTTATAGATCAAGCTTTGAATGGTCTAGTTGCACTGTGTGAATTGGGCATGTTTGAAAAATCGACAATTGTAGACATTGCTAAAAAGTTTCATATTTGCTCTACCACCCTAACACTTGGATACGATATAATGCAATTGCCTTTTTCTCGGCAGCCAGCAAGCAATTGGGAATGGCTGACACTAGTTGTTTCTTGCTTGATATTCTGAAACCACATTTGGCTCAAAGCATAATGATTATTACGGAATATTCGCTGCTTGAAAGCATTACTCAACCAATAGCACGTGATACATTTGATCGAGCTATTAAGCTTCTTATGGAAGACCTTAGTGCTTCCTCTCGTCAACCTTTCCAAACTTTAATAACACAAAAGTTGCCTCAGGTTTCACCCGAAGAGGTTGACAAATTGGAGACCATTTTACCGTACCTCTCTCAAGTGGCAACAGCCGTACTGTCAAAATCTTGGGAAAATAACAATGATGGCGAAAACCAAACCAACATCGATAGTGGTAGTGTGGTACAATTGAATCTTCCACTTTACACATTTCACACCAATAGAAAGTCCCTATATTAGTCTGCAATCAAGTATTACACAAAATAATCAAGCTCCATCAAAACCATCACAATCCAAGCAGTATAATAATGAATGGAATACATTCTTCTCAATGTCAGGAAAACCAAAATCCAAAACAAAAGATAATGACGACTTCCCAAAGAATATTACAAATCCTCTTAAAAGCCTCCACTATTGGAAAATGGAGACCAAATGGTAACTTGTTTGGCCAATCCACAGAACACAAAGGATCTGTCAATGAAATTTCAGTTCACGACAGCTTGTATTGGTTTGTGACAGGTGGCAACGATGGAACAGTAAGATTGTGGGATCTCACCAACACTGAAAGAGATTTTGCAATGAATTCTAAAATGACGTATACCATCATTCAAGGAGGAGGAAGAGTGAACTCGGTGGCAATTCTCAATGTGACATCTCCTCTCATTGCTGCTTGCACAGATAAGGGATGGATTCACGTATTCAGCGCAGATTTAGGCACTACCATGTACACTATAACCATTTCGGATAGTGGTGCAATATTTGTGCAATCTTCAAGCGGGTCAAAAACTCAAGAAGCATCCATTAATGTGGTGAGACCTCTCAACATTGGAAATCAACCATTACTAATTTGTGGAAATCAAAATGGAATGGTTGTAGGTATCGATCCAAGAGCTGCCAGAGAGGCATTTTCATGGAAATCAAAAGAGGCACTCGAACAGGGACCAATCTCAGAAATTTGTTGTGGCGACAATGAACCTTGGGTGATTTCTTCGACGAAGCGTGGATTCCTCACATTGTGGGACTTGAGATATCAAATTAGCGTTTCCAATACGCGAATTAATGAAAGTGCCATTAACAGAATTAGCATTTGTAAGAATAGCGTTTTGACCAGTTCATTCTCATCTCCGTCTGTATATATCGCATCTCAAAACAATGACATTAATTTATGGAGTTTGGAAACACAACAAACCTTATACAAGTTCAGATGTTCTGACACTAGAAAGAAGAGTCAACCAACTCCACACACCACACCCAATATCGATCAGCCATACGGCTCTGATAAATTTGCCATTGGAGAAATTAAAAAGATTATGAGGAGAGAAAACAATTTTCGACAGAGGAGCCTACCTTTGATATTAATGCTTTATATGTGAATGATTATGATGGATGTTTTTATTCTGGCAGCAGTGATGGCATTGTGAGGTTCTGGGATGTGAACAAAATTGATCAGAGTTATGTTGTCAGTGGCGCCTCTCAACAAGCATTTATGTATGGTGCTAAGAAGGAAGATAACTGTACGGTATTTACTGAGGATGTGATGTCACTCCAACGAACCGATCAATCTCTCACCTCAAGTACAACAAGCAACAGAGGAAAGGGAGGTACTTTCTCACAACCCATTGCTACACATCACTTGGACACAATTACTGATATTGAAGTTGTGTCTGGAGTATCAAAAGGCCATTTCCAACCTCTCTTGTTGACTGCCTCTCGTGATGGTATGCTTAAGGTTTGGAAATAGTATTAAAATTCTGAAAAGTTACATGTCTCAAGTATTCTGAAAATATTAAATGTAAACACTACCTTAGAACGTGTTGACATGTCACTTTGCTTTTGATTATTCCTGTTCACCATTAATAACTCTCGGATTGTTAGAAGTCATGAATAAAAGCAATCGAAATATTTTGTGTAAAGACGAGTGATGTCTTGCAAAACAATTTGCTAAATTGGAGTTCATAATATGAGTGGGATTGGTTTCAGTTGAAGAACGCTGTCTGATGTTCACGTGTGACTTTATGAAATTCGCAATGATTTTTGCATGTCATGTACTCAAAGACATCATGTCGAAATAACATCTGAGCACTAATGATCGCATCATTAAATTTGGTGGAAAACAATGTTGGGTAATGATTGTTGCTGTGGTAATGATAGTCCTATTCTTCATCCTCTTGTGCAAACTTATTTCGTTCGTATCTTTGAAATTCCTTGTCAAAATAATTTCGATATATTTTTTGAATGTCTTGTGGCACCTCTTCTGGTCGTAGCGGTGGTAATCCAGCATCCACTCTTTCCTTGTTTTCCTTAAAGATCTAATCAGAATTAGCATGAAAATTAATAAATTGTTACCACATGTTAATCATGATGTTCCGCCATTCACATGATTGAACATTTTTGAAAATTAATAATAAATTAAATCATCATCATTATATTCATCCACACGTTGAAATTCAAGAACCATTATTTCAATTTTAAAATTTCAAATGAAAATTCATTCCGAAAATCAATAAGAACATTCAAAAATCATCATCTTCAACACATACAGCAAACAACGGATCCTCTCTCGCTTTCTTTTCCATCCCAATCATTTCCTTGGCATAGCTTTTATTTTGACAATCCCCAAAACATGCCCACCACTGAAGCTGGCACAAGACTTGCCATCAGTAAGGTTCTCATGTTCATTTTGAATTTTTTTTCAAATCTTTTGCCATTCCTTTCATTTGGGGTGTAATGTACATTCTTCAGGAAAAGGTTCCAAGTATCCAATCCTATAATAAAGAGTGAATCATTATTGAATCATTGCAGGATTCTTCTATCAACCAAGTGTATCATCCGCAACAATTCGAATTACTAGTTGTTTGGAGGAACATGAAAGATCTATTTTTAAAAATATTGAATAATCCGTTGAATCTTCTTTCGCTACTGGAATCATCACCATTCACGATCTGACCGTTCATTCCGTTCATCCTTCCTTAGAAACGACAACAGCAAAGGATTTATAAAAAACATAGAAAATGGTATGGGGATTATCATGGCTTTGGGGTAAGTGGGATGAATAATGAGATTTTAACTTCGGAGTTGTATGATGACCATTTTGAACCAATAATTATAATATGAATAATAATTTAAATATGAAATATGAATAATGATCATTGATGCACTCGTGATTTATGTGGACATAACTATTACTTGATAATTTTAAATGCATACATTAAAATTGGATGATTGAATTGCTCAACAACATATATTTCCATGAGGATAGGCAGTGGTTCTACAAAAAAGGATACTAAAACAGAAGATACCCAACCAGCACATAACAAATCCATAAATAATATTCATGAAACAATTTCAACACTAGAAAAAGAGAACAATTATTAGAAAAGAAATGTGCAGATGAAGATTCCAAAGCAAGAGCCTTTTACAAGAAGGAAACCGAACCGCAGCTGCTCAATGTGTGAAAAAGAAGAAGCAATATCAAACTCAATTACAACGAATTCACAAAACAAAATCTTGAGCAAACATTGCTTGCATTGGAGGAAGCAGTCATTAATGCTGAGACACTCAAGACTCAAAAAGAAACCTCTGATGCCATTAAGAAGGTATATAAAGGAATGACTGCTGAGGATATTGAGAATGTCATGGATGATGTCAGAGAAACGTAAGTTTTATCTTGTGGAATTCTTTTCCATTTTGAACCATAATTTATTAATTAATTTTAACGAAATTTGTGAATTACTTCATTCAATAATTGATTGAATTTTCCTTTTCATTATGATTACATAATTCGTATGTCAACGTTGAAATAATGTAAATTAACAGTTTGGAAGATGCAAATCAAATATCTGAAGCACTTGGTCAAAATATTGGCCCTGTCATGGATGAAGGAGAATTATTGGACGAATTGGAACAAATGGAGGATGCCATTCATAAAGAGGAAATGAAAGCTCTTCAATTACCTCAAGAAAACCTATCGACGACTGAGAGGAAAGAAGGTTGTTAAAAACCTGTAACAACCACAAATAAGGAAGATGAAGAGCTGGAAAAGAGCTCGCTGCTCTTATGGAATAATAATAATTATGCCACAATTACAATGAGGTAATTTAATTAACCAGGATCGAAGGATTGGATCGGATTGCTCCAGCGACTATTTTTGAACTTTCTATCAGTCAATCCGATCCAATCCCAAAACCGATCTATTTAAATTTCTTCAATCTAACTGTAGATTTTCTCATTTCACCTTCTTTTCCTTGTAAATAAAACAACCCTCAACATCGACAAAGACTTTAAACGGACACAAGACAAGTTCAGAGATAATTTAGTATG